ATAATAGCAGTGGTAGTAGTAGTAATGATTCAGTGATTATAATTGGTAGTGATGGTGGTGATTATAACAGCGATGACAGTGACGAAATTTCACTGATTGAAAACAAACTCGATAAAGGAAAAAAACGCAAAAACATTGACAATGATAACACTGATATTCAATCATTGAGTGACATTACCATCAAGAATTTACCAACCAAGCCCAAGGTTGATAAAGGAAAAAAACCAGTAATCGGATATAAACCAATGAAAAAACAAACAGCAAGACGCTCAATACCATTTCCTTTTAAAGCAACTGATATAAGTTATGATTTTGGCCCAGTGGCAAAAAGAATAAAACTCAATGAAAATTTAAATAGTAATAATAATAAAAATAATTATAATACATTTACAACAAACTTCAATACTTCTCCAATTCTGGACACAAGTAATTCTTCAACATATAATGACATTTCTTCTTCATCTAATGCATTTATATATACATCTGCATCTACATCTGCATCTGCATATACAACTGCTACATCCACATCTGCAACCACATCTGCAACTGCAACTGCATCTGCATCTGCATCCACTTTTCACAACATTTCTTCCACAACCCCAACTTCATCCCAATCCACACATCCAACCAAATTTAATAGTCAATCTACAATTTCAACTCCAACTGCTATTCCATCTATATTTGCACCCTCAACCAAACTTACAGGTCAATTCACTACTTCAACTTTGTCTTCTGCACTATCAACTACATCACCAATTGTGCCATCAATTGCACCATCAATTGCATCACCAAATATATCCAAGAACACAATAATAATTCCACCTAAGCTTACACCTACAAATGAAATTACAATTACAACTCTAACTGAAATATCAACTAATTCCACCACTACAGCCACAAATTCAACCACAGCCTCAATTAAACCAACAGTTCCAATTGCAAAACATACAACATCAGCAACTGATTCTATCTCAACTTCAATCAAATCTAACCATACTCAAAATTTAATCAGAATGCCTGATTTTACCATCACTACATCACCATCACCACCACCATCACCATCACCATCACCACCACCACCATCATCACCATCAGCAGCAGCAGTACAAAATATGAACCAGAAATCAAAAGTTAATAAGCATTGCTTAGACTATTCAAAACTAATATATACTTCACCAAATTTACCTTTCTTTGATGATGATGATCTTGATATTTCAGATATGGAGATTTGTTGACAATAAGATTCAACAGGATTAAATTGGTGAAATGGAAATTGTCTATCTTGGGAAAAACTATATATTTCAAGTATAACTATTAATAATGACAAATGAAATTTAAAAAAAAGATTTTGCTATTTCACAAAAGTAAAAAGCATTATATAGAAATACTTGATTATGAGTGTCAATGTTGA